GGAACATTGCTTCCATTATCCTCCCATGAATGCCACAGCTTCTGAACGAAACCTCGTGAGAGCTCCCAGCTAATGAATTTGCAAGGTCTGGTCCCTGGAGAAGAACATCAGCTTTGGCGGGAATAAATCCATCACATTTTACTTTTTTTCTGATCCACACATACAATTCCTGATTTGTTATTTGGCTTTTTTTAGGATGGTAGCATACGCCATGATGGGGCAAGTACCAAACACAACCTTTAACCCGTCAGCTCACTTTCAGGTACTTCCACAAGCATTATCCTTTTGAAATTCATAGGTACCCATAAATTTCACATAGTCCTTATGGTACGTTTCACATCTCTTAACATTTTTTCTTTTGCCAAAGGACACGTTTGATAACGATTTCTCTGTTATCATTTGGCATGGGCCTTTTCATTACGGAAAGGAAGTGGGATTTGGAAATGAAGCCGTCATTATACTGGATACCATCTTGTGTTTTCTCCATGAATCGCTGATCCTCTGTAAAGATTTAGCCACGTTCGCCTGGTGTGGAACCACAAGATCGCTCTCACTGGAAATCCAAATTCAAATAGCTTTCAAGACTGTTTCCAGGTGCAAATGCATTCCTTTTGACTTTTCAACCTCATGAAGAATGATTCTGTTACAGACAACGAGTATTGTCAACACAGGATTCTGTCGAACTTGTAAAGGGGCCATTTATCAGTCAATCCATGTTTATGTAAAACAGCAAAGGAGTCCTGAATCACATTTGACGAAACAACTTTCTAAAGGTTTGAGAGCATCCCTGGACAGTTGCTGCACCAATGAAAATTTCCAATATCAAGATTTGGCAAATACACTGGCAACTTATCTGCAACTGTTCTTGAGATGGGAGTATCTGTTTAAAAAGCAATGCTGGTTTTGGAATGTGAGTACGATCAATAACAGGCATAACTTCCTCTAGTGGATTGTACGTGGGAGACTCACGTGATTAGGTGCCATCAAGGTCCGAGACAACAAGACCATTTTACCACAGACGTCTTGACATACTCTGTACCATTCATTGTCTGGAGCTTCAGTGTTGCTGGGTGCAAGACTTGCATCTAGTCGATTCTTCAGATCCCTCAGTGATGAAACACCACCCAGTGCTCCTGCTGTCCAACATTGTGTAGGTAGTCATCACCTTGTCGCTGCCTTTCACCGCCACTCTGAACAGGAATAATTGGCTGGAAAATGGTTTTCAATACAATTAGACTTGGATGCATTGCAACTTAGCAGGAATCATTACCTTTGTCAGATTGCTTATTCACTTTATCACTGTTACCCTCGTGCTTTGCATTCCTGTTGAATTGATAGTTGATATCATGCATAGCTGTTGGATGGCGTTTACTGCAGGTCTTACAGATCCTTTTTCCTCATACACCCTTTAGCAGAATGACCTAGTCCATAACAACTGAAACATCTGCTACAGGTTTTCAAAAGTCCACGTTTTTCCACGAGTGATTTCTGTTTGAAGTCTTTACACTCATCAAGGCTCATGAGACTGTTTTGCAAAAAGAAACATTTAGGACTGTTGACCTTACCATCAGATGCGTTGTTTCCCTACTTGAGTGGCAAAACGTGTTGACTGAGGCCTGGATGAAGACTGTTTACCTTTTACTGGAGCTGTTGGCATTTTAGGCTGAAGAAGATTCTGGCTGACAGTAAGCGCCTGTTTACCAAATGTTGGCTCATTTGCGGACTTTTGCTGCAAAATTCGATGAAGTCCACTAGGTCCTTAAACTGATGAAACCTTGTCCATTTATCCTTCTAGACGTTACACGGTCCCTCCACTTGATCTGGAGATGCTGCGGAAGCTTCAGCACAATAGATTGCAAATATGGAGCATAATTGAGAACCAACAACTGAGACATACTCTGCATGACATGGTAGCATTTCTTGAGATTGAACGAGAACTGTTTAAGTCCTTGAAAATCATCATTCTTCAAAACAGGGCAAGACAGTATTCTGTTCAGATAAGCAGTAGAAACCTTGTTTGGATTACCATATTCTTCAAACAAAGGTGTCTTGCATGTTGATATCCAGAAGCAACATTCATATATAAGCAACCAGAAATCAAGTCTTTGGGCTCACCTTGTAACTGTTGATCTAGATTATACAATCTATCAGCATCATTCTTTTGTTTGGGGAACAACACGAGCATCAAAAAGCCATCATGAAAACTGCAAATTCAGTCGGATCCCCTGTAAACTTAGGAACTTCTGGCTGAGGCAGAAACATTGCATTTACCATTTGTTGCTGGGTTTCAATAAACTGATTACTTGGAGCAGAGAGAGGATAATCAGGAACACTGTGCGAATGTTCATTACCTTTCATGTGATTATCAAAATGGAGGTTCCGGCGAGGCCTGGGGTCATAAGAATGATATTCAGTTGCATTTGGATTCAATGAAGGTTCAAGACTTACTGAATTTGGAGTAATATTTGTCTCACTCTTTACATCAGAGGATACAAGAGGTTGATGCGTCTCATCATGATCTGGAGTCTGGAACCTGACTTGTTGCTGACGAATAATCGCTTCCTCTTCATCAGCAAACACCTTCTCTCTTGCTGTAGCTTTAGCGATGTCAATGTTCAGCTGTAACTGCTTAATCTTAGATTGTGTTTCAAACATTGCTTTTTCTGTGCGAAGTTCAGCAAGTTTAGCTTTCTCCATTAAACGTGCAGACAGAGTAGAACTGGCATGAGAGATTTGAGATTTACTGGATATCTGAGATCTTTTATCATCTGTAGAATCTTGGCAAACAGATTGAGTACGTACTTGCTCAAACAACTCACGTTCAGCCTTTTCAATCCAGGTCACAGCTAAATCATGAACATGCTTGATGTCTCTCAGCTTAGTCTCAGCGTGCTGGACAGCGGCAGCTCTAGCTTCCTCGGTGTCAAGAGAACTGGAATAAATCTCATTACAAGTTTGATAACGGGAAGACAAATCATGTAACTTGTGAATACATGCCTTAACTAAAGGTAGATTATCATTATCAAACAATAAAGACTCAAGTTCATTTTTGCACTTCGTCAAGTTGGAAAGAGCACCAATAGTCTTGTTTCTTAACAAACGTAAATGTTCACTTTTGCCTTTCTCAGTCAGAGTTCTCAGACGTTGAATACGTTCATGAATGTCCAGAGAAGTGTTGCTATCACTGTTACTTTCAGCCATTGTGCTCCAGAAACATGTCAGTTATGCACAAACAAATCACATCACATAGCATGAACAATATATAAACGTTGAACAGGAATGTCACGTTGAATTGATAAATAGTAACCACCACTGAATACAAGAAGCTCAGACAAGAATAAACGTTATCTTTGCCACACGGTTTAACTTTGCAATCATTGAGAGCTGTAGACCACCATGCATAAAGCGTTGAAAGATGAATTCCATACGTACCTCACTGTCTGCAATTTTTTTTGAACAAATGTAGATGCAAGAACAAAATCCGATACTCGCATCAGAGTTTATTACATCCGTGCAGGTTACAATTTAACAATTCATCAACATTTCATCCTTGAAACTTGGTGAGCACTTGGACAACGAATCAGGCTACGATGAAAACTGATGAGCCCTGCTGAGGTTCAAAAACAACAATATAAGCAGAAACAATTTCATAATCTTTGCTCATTAATGCACTTTAAACATATTTACTTTTGGCATTAATAAACTCTACAATGCTTATTGAAATTGTACAAATACATTTGGATGACTAAATATTTGAACAGCATTTCGTTGAACTGTTATCAAAATTGTTTATCAATAATTTATTATTAATACAAATGATAATAATGCAATAAAGTCAGAAATATGAGTTGAAAGTAACTTACATTTGTTTCTTGACATGCAGTTATTTGCAGACAGTGAGGTGAAGCAACTTTCCAGCATGGTGGTCCGGCACAGACTGAAGGGCATGCTTTTTAGACCATGTGCTTCATTAGGGATGTCATGTGATAAACAAGTGTTAGAAGTGAGGCTAATTTAAATACTTTATGTGTAAATTAGTTAAATTAGTTTCAAAAGTTTAGTTGGTGTAAGTGGGTTTGAACTTGTAACCTTTGGATTACAAATCCACAGCCTTAACCATTAGACCAATGAGTTAAGATATTTGCATTTTAAATTTTAGTAAAATTTAAGTTTAAGATTAAATTTAAACTTTAAACAATATTAACACATAGAATTTAAGGGAATATTGAAACACATCAACATCAACAATATTCATGTTATATGGTTGCGGACAGAAGTCTGGAACAGGCAATCCCGTGATTGATATAACGGGCGCCTTCTTACATTGGCTGTGCGATTACATTCATTCAACCAAGTAACCAGGACTGAATTTCTTCAATAGCATATGATTTGGTGGAATTTCTAATTTAGCTTTAAAAAATGAAACTTAAACGCATATATTCCAAATGTTACTATACTGGCTCACTATAGTTAACATTACCGCAGTATTGATTGAAGCTGGTGGGGTAGCCTAGTGGTTAAAGCGTTCGCTCGTCACGCCGAAGATCTGGGTTTGATTCTCCATATGAGTACAATGTGTGAAGCCAATTTCTGATGTTCCCCGCCGTGATATTGCTGGAATGTTGCTTAAAGCGGTGTAAAGAGTGTAAATCTAAACTCACTCACTAACAGTAACACATATGCTAGCCTGGTACACTTATTGATTGACAATGATATAAATTATGAGCACTTAAATAAGGCATTTGCAGATTTGCTGGAATCAATTATTTGTGTAGTCGATTAATATGTTTGGGTCAAAATGATATTGATGAATCCCAATCGAATACCAAATCGGTTCATGATCAAACATTCATTTCAACGCAGAATGTAATGAAAACATCAGACCAACTCTGGGAAAAGGATTCATTACGTTTGTCTCGAAATGAAAAAAAGTTACTTAAGAAACTATCATTTTTGACCCAGACAGACTGTAGGCATTAACGACTTGTTAAAATGAACGATTTGATGTAAACATATTTTATTCATAAATATCAAACAGTCAGTGCCAAAGGATACCCAGCACTGAATATCCTCAGAAACAGGTTTAGTTGGTGTTTAGACAACAGAGCTGTGAAGACATTATGCATGGATCGCTGACAGTCAGTGATAACACCATGTGTTCGCGGAAGGGATATACGCATGTCCGGTCCTACCGGAAGTACCCGCTATTTACACAAGCATATAGCCTGACGCCGATCACAGAACACCTTTGGTAGAAGTATTCTCACGGTCTTCCCGCAGTCTTCTCACGACACAGTTTCAAGAGACGCGTTATGTAATATCACAACTGAAAAATGAAGAAAAGACAGATATACACAGGTAGGTAGCACTTCAGCTAGCATACAAAGAAGCCACATATTCACTGAAATATGTGTCCCCGGTTATCCACCTGGAACGAAGTATTTAATGTCGTATTGTTCACGAGGCACCATGGTAGTATTTTGGACATACTTGGACTTGTTTTGGATATGGTTTTTTTTTTAACATGATTATTTCTGTTTTCCCAGGCCGTGATATTGCTGGAATACTGCTAAAAGCGGCGTAAAACTAAACACACTCACCCACTGTACATACATTATTCGGGTCACCACCATCTTCCACCATCCGGCCTTATACATTGTTTCAAACGTCATTTCCATCTGGCATCTTCTTGTTGAAGAAAAACATCAGAATAAAACCTACAATAAAATATTATCCAAACTAGATTGTATGTTACAATGCAACTTGAGGGAATTGTATCACTGTTTATGATATCATGCCTTATGCACGTGTACGTGTCACATGTAACAAATAAACCAAATTCCCATGTGTAAATAAACAAACCGGATCTAACCAGTTTAATAAAATATTACTGACAACCAATGGAAATAAAAGCTTTAAAAAAGTTAAAATAGTGATTTACCGAGATTCTGGGACCTTACCCACAAAACGTAGTGTTACGACCCATCGTAACTGCTTTATTCCGGATGGGGTCCCTGAATTAGATTACATTCTCTTGATAGAAAAAATATTGAAAAACTTAATGGATAAGAACCTCTTTTATTTCCTTATTAAGTTTGTTATCCATAAATGTTGTCAATATTATATTTCCCCACTTCTACAATACCACATATAGAAGGTGATGTAAAAGACTTACTACAGGAAGAACAGGCAGCAGTTAGAAAGAAGAGCCCATACCAGCCGATAAGGTCTGTAAGATAAGACGTCAGCAGAGACCCGACTGGAGAAATGACCATCTGTTTAAATTACGGCGCATCATTATGACAGGATATCTATAAAGCTTACATATCCACGCATCTAGTACACGCCCAAGGCGCTGTTGTTTTTTCCCACGACCATTGATGTCAATCTCAACGGCACATATTATCAATTTCAACTCCCTCGATCATGTCTATGGGACTGTAATAGTGTGAAGAGAAATATTCACAATGGATGAATTAATGTTGATGTTTGCAACCACTGTAATTCTTTATTATCTGAGATGTTTATCGCTTCTCAATGATGTGGCAGAGAGTAGCGGACGAAAATCTGCAAGAGTGTGGTTCAGGATCACATCATTTTTCATAAAACGTTAAGTACTAACCTGTGAGGAAAACAAAATCCCATATATCTGTATGAAGTACTCCTGGCCAAACGTCCTCGCGGTCGCAGTGGGGATGAGGGAGTAGTTGCCGGAGAAGGTGCCGAATGTGAGGCAGACGTAGATGAAGAACAGGGGCTTCCCGTCGGCAACCTTGGTCAGGGTGAAGGTGAACATGAGGACTGTGAATAGCGCACACAGGCACAGCATAGCCGTCTGGAAGAGGAGTTTTACTTGTGGTTTGAGGCCGCACTTAGTAATGTATACACTTAAACAAGAAATGTAAGATTTGGTTTGAGAATTGAACGTTCAACGGAAAGGTGTAACACAATAAAGCGTTTTTTCGACAGCAGAAGTGACAAGCCATTGAGGGTTATATAAGAACATTGAAAGTGACATGATGCACTAGGAACTGATGTTCCGTTCTGGAACCATTCATATTATACCTCTGAGGCTTCGTTGATTCATTGATTGATTGATTGATTGATTGATTGATCAATATTTCAGCTATATATGGTGGCTGTTTGTAAATAATAAAGTCTGGACCAGACGATCCAGATATCAATAGTTTGAACATCGATCGGCGGAATTGGGACACGATGACATGTGTCAACAAATCAGCAAGCCTGACCACATGATCCAGTTAGTCGCCTCCTGCTGAAGATCAGTTCTAATCTTGGTTATTTGTGAATGACAGAATACATGCGACGTTTTCAAAAAGGTTGAATTGTTTGAGTTGGCAGTTTGGTCTAAATAAACCTATTACATCTGTCTCGGATTGCCCGTGTTTAATGAAGTACCTTAAATGACACCTTGTCTCCAAAGTAGCCCCATGAGATACGACCTGCAGCATTGAAGATAGACGCAAAGCTTCCAACAACTGACAGGAACCTGTCATCTTGGATGAATGTTTGTCCATATGTCTGGAATTATAACCAGACATTTCGTGTACATAATTATATAACTTGAAGTTTATCAAGGTCTATCATTGTCGCAATGTGCTAACTTCATGTCATGAAAATCATTGATATGTCATATAATATTGGACAATAAAATTTGATTCAGAACGTAATACGATTGATCCAGATGGTACGGCAATATTTCACAGAACAAATGTAAAACAATGTAACTTATGTTATATTTGGGATTAGACTTTCTTAGTAAAGTACAGATTCTAGTACTTTTGGGGTTGAGGCCCATCCGGGATTCGGAACCCACACCTCACACCTAATCGCCAGCAGTCAGACGCCTAATCGCCAGCCACTCAAGTTTACAACTGGTTGTCTACACTGCACACTAGCATAGACACGCTCACCTATCCAGATGGTAGAGAAGAAGATTAGTCCTTTTTGGCAGTTAGGCAAACAGTAGGATACAGCCAGAGAATCCAGAACTCTTAGACACGTTCTTCCAGCAGTTTCTCCAGTGAAAACAGACACCAGAGAATCCAGACTCTTTGTTTACCCACTTGACTGACAGCATGACAAAAAAAATGTCTTAAATTAAAAAAGAGTAACTCCTTATTATAATAGACCGTTTTAGGAACGTGTAGATTATACATGCCAATCAGTATCTACTACAGCAATGCATTGGGTATTAATAGTCTTTATAACTTTGCAGTTTAAAGTATCAATAGTAGGAGATCTGTGCCAAACACTGCCATCTAGAAATGAACTTTCACTCTTTGCTCAAACAAACATATTATGTTAATTTACAGTGTGTAACCAACATACAATCTATATTCATCGCGATGAACGAGTACGGAGCATTTGAACATAAGCGATGTATTAAACATGAACACAATGTGATGGTAAGGACTAGATGCAAAATGAAGTAACACATTAAAACGATAACTCCCTCTCAATGTGGGGTGGAAGTAACCATAAAGCGACATGTAAAGTGAACGTTTAGGCATGCTCTTCCCGCAGAGGTTGCTTGTCGTATCCTTCGATCCTCTCTCTTCAATATGGCCATATTTCCCGGTTCTCGTAAAATAACCTAGCGACAAAAAATTGCAATACGAATTATCTTCCTTCTTTCTATCCAATCAGAACGACGTAGACCCAACTTGACTTATACAAGCAAATGTGGGGCCACAGATATCGCCCCTCTACACATTTGTTGAATGGATAGCTTGTCGATTGCTCAATGGAGACTCCATTGATTCGCCATTACGACTGGAGTCCTGTCTAGATCGAAACGTTTGCGCATCGCGCAGGGGAAGAGGTTCCTGTTTTCCAAAAGCATAAGGAAATTACTGAGGCTCTTGCAAATGATCACTTTTGAAACAACGTCTCTGATCGCACAACTAAATCTGATTGCAAACCAATCACGAATCCTGAACACTCGCACCATGAAAGGGTCGTATTAGAACAGAGGTTCGTAGGAAGGTATGACAAGTAACCTCTGTGGAACAGATTGACGTTTAGGATGAGTTGACCAATAATAGGGATACTAAGCAACAAAATGGTCCAGCATCCGTTTCTACGATGTGTTAAGACCGAACATCAACAATCCCACAGAACAATCCCTTTCCAAGAAGTACTAAAATCAGTATTGATAACTTTTACGTCGAACCTTGCTGGTCAACATTCAGTGTTTTGAGTGCGCTGGAACGCTCGTCTTGTATTTTCTTAAAGATTTTATGTCTGACAACTAGTTGAACCTCATCATTCTTCAGAAGAACTATCATAATATGTTCACATATCAGATCCACTATTTTCGGAGAGCATGTTTTTGTTGTTGTTTTTTTATGTGTCTTCTTCGAAACAAATAACCACGACAGAGCAAGGCTCGATATCTCTCGTTATCAACTTCTAACTGTCGCTATCCCTAACATGACTCAACACAAGTCAGTCAATAAAGACTAATGATACGAGGGACAGTCGACAAGTAGTCAGCCTGACCTAGTAAATGATACAAATGCAGCTTCTTTTGGTTTTATTTTTCTACATATTATATCGTCAACCTCAGGCAAATTGGTTTTGCTTACGTTCCAGCCTTAAGATCCCCATTTTGTTTGAAATTTAATCTTGGCAAAGTACACCCTAAAAGAGCAAAATCTGCATTAAATGCACCACAAACTTCAGGTAACAAAAATATGCAAGAAACATTTTGTGTGTTTGAGATAGGTAGACGTCCACTAGAATCAAACTTCTAGATATTAAAGTGCATAAAAAGCAATTTGAAAGTACGATCGCTTGTTAAAGTGATTCCCTTCGTGCTTACTGAAACAGCTTGTTTTAGAGACACTCACCCACCCCTTCACAGACGACGAAACTCATAAGGACGTAACTTCTAATGTTTTCACTTTTTTCACACATGATGCTAAAGGTTCAAAGTAACACTGAATGGTCACACAAGTGTGAACTCTCGGTATATTGTAAACGGGGCCAGCTTGAATATCAGGGGTCCTTTCACGGAGCAACCTTTACTAAGGTTAACCTTAAATCCCCATTCTTAGGTGACTTGCGATCACCTTAGAAGCGGTTTGTGAAAGGTGTTCTGGACAAAATGTTTTTGAAAGACCAAAACGGGGGGCGTCCTTAAAAGAAACAGCCCCCGACTAAATATGAATCAGGCAACCAAAAGCTTTGATTCTTGATTATGACGGGGAAGTCATCCAATACTATACTAACATATTTTATATGACATTATCTGAGGGCATACCATTATCCAAGAGGTACTAAATGACGGTCGTTTTTCATTTTCTGCATTTTTTCTAGAAATACCATAACCCAAATGGGTTGTGATGACTAATATCTCGTTAATCACATTACCCACATATGCGAATTTTTTCATACGGCTTTGCTAATGAATCCTACAAATTAAAATGGAAGCTTTTCAAAAATTGGACATCGAGAATAATATAGTTAGGCCGACACTTTTTGACCGGCCCTCGTAATTAGCTATCGAGTCATCTCCACACCTTTGACAGACATGGAACTGTTTGTGGAACTACTGACATCACTCAGCCCAGTTGTATCTCTTGATTTTAGTCTTTGGCCTCCGAAATTTAATACTTCTAGTTCAATGGACACATTTTAGCAAAACCAGATTAGAGAAACCATGTTTATGTTTCCTTCCAAATATGAACAATGAACATAACATTGACAGTGGAAAAAGAACCGTTTTTAAATACTTACGTCATTCCCGCATCCTCTATTTGGGGTCATAGTTGTCAACTGCATCAAGTTCGCTGTCAATGTTGGACACCACAGCCGCCACTGGGACATAAAAATACTTTATCTTACCTCACATGGCAATGTACCCCGCCGTCAATGTGAACTCATTTGGTACTTCGTGGTAGTAATTTTTATCCTCGAATAACATTGAATTGCGTACGATGTACGGAAATTACTGATGTTTTGCGAATGCAAATCGATGGAAGGGAGATAACTCTAAATCTGTTTCTTTTTTGTCAGCAAAATCTATGATGGCTACAACAGCATTTGTACCCATGCTTCAAAACAATTCAAAATTAACAATAAGGTGGTCGGTAAGATAAATACGTTCGGGCTCAGGGAACATAAACAAACATCGAGGGTACATCAACCCATGCCCCTCATCGTGACCAGTGAACTTTTATGTATACATAAAAACATACGTCAAAGCGATGGTCACCATTTGTGGTATGAAATTCACTTTTAGTTATGAAGAAACAAGCACATTGTAAGTTTCAAACATTTAACATGAATCTTACGATTACAAAGAATGTATTCATACTGTCGGCCATCTCTTGCCCCTGTCAGAGTCCTGTTCATTAGCTCCCCTTCGTATCTTCAGGCTACAAGAAAAGGTGGATTATGATTCAGTATATCACCGTTGAATCAGTATATTAATCCTGAATGCAAGTGATCACCATCATTGATTGCCGAACAGGGTTAACGGAGATCAAACTATATCTTGATATCTTCAGATAACCCGAGCACCAGACCTCGAGATGTACAAAGTTACCAACGTTTGGCCACCTGCCGAGTGGTTAATATTGTTTCATACCTTTGATTGGCCAATCAGAATTGACGTGAACGAGTTTTTATGATGAAAATTAGGATCAAATCAATGAATGTGTAATCAGTTCGAATAATCACTGCGTATGGCATTGTATAAACATCTGTTTTACCTTCAGATTTGTTTAACTGAAAAGAGCTTGACAATTGCATTAAATTGTTGTCATAGGCAACCAGAAGAAATGGAAACCAGAATTTCGGAATCAATTTTGTTAGTCTCCTCAGAAATATGTAACTCATATACCGTCTGATCTGATATTGTCTTCTTGAAAAAGTAGGCAAATATACAAATTTTACCTTTGGCAGTCGAAGGAACACAATTCCTAAGAACTGAAGGGAAACATAGCAGGCCGCTAGAATCAGAAACATGTTGGGAACTCTGCCAAGCAAGTCTTTTGAGTGAAGTATCTGTAACCAGATAGAAGTTCATTCAGTCTCGTCCCAAACCACAAACCAAAAATCATTAAGGGCGGTGGTTAAAACGTGTTCGCTCATCACGTTGAAGATCACGTTCGATTCCCAATATGGGTACAACGTGAGATCGACAATTTCAGGTGTCCCTCGCAGTGATATCATCGCGGGAATATTGCTAAAAAGCGATCGCAAACTAAACTCACGTCTTCACGTCTCATGTACCATTTCACATGGTTGCGCATTACTATTCTTAATGTGAGGATGGGACTGTTGCTTGTGACATTCAAGCTGCATTAAGTTAAAAGTTTAGCTTTTTGTGGATTAGTCGTTTCAGTAAAACAAATAGTATACATACCCCTCGCCGTCTACTTTGCCGGAATTTGCGCAAGATTATCAGGATTGATGTACCATGACTGGATGTAGTCGAAGATAAAGGCACTCGCCGCCAAACCCAGCCAAGATCAATCCGGTGGCGAGACCCCTTCTTGTCAGGGATCCACCGATTGGTGAAAGGAATAAGAT